TGAATGGGAATAAAACGTCACGAGAAAAACCACGAGATTACTGGAGATTTAGGTACTAATGTCTCTGAATACTCCAACTATTGAAAATAGCAACTATTGGCTTGCATTGCATTGAAAAAGTTAATTATTTCTCACCAAGAAAAATCCTCTTTCCCTGAATTTTATAGATGAACGAGAAATTGAGTGGTCGTTTTCCCTTGAAAATGACTTCAAACCGACTTAATGAAAAATGAGACAAAAATTCAAATGACACTTTATCGAGGATTTCAAGACAATTCTTGACAATTTGCCGACAATTTTCCAACAATTTGCATTTTTATCTGATTGGAATCAGTGATATTTTTGGGTGCATCGGGGAAAATGATAACCAATACTATGTGAAAAGTTTAAAAGCTCTCTCTGTGGACGAGGAAACGATGTCGCGTATCAAAGAGCTTGACGACACTTACCGGAGATTACTGTAAAGCTCCTGAGAACGCTCGTTATGAAGTCTTAAGCTCGTTACGCTTGTCCAAAGTTTTTAGAGAGATGACGTTGTTCTAGGCGAAGAATTAGCAAGAAATGAGCTTCTCTCCACTGATTCACAGTCAATGGTGTTTGGTTTCGTTATTTGTGGGCTGGAATTGTAGACGTCTGGGTTTGTTCAATGGTACTGATAATATTCACTCCCTTCACCTTTGAAGTTTCATGAATGCTTTCCTCTAGAAGCGCATTTCTGATCCCCATGGAACTTTCCTCGTCATATAATATTGAATTTTCTCGAGTGGTTGGAATTTCAAACCATCCGGAGTACCGGCCAACCGAGTGGCAAGATTCCCCACTGAAACTTTTAATTTATGCTATTCTCGAGGGTAAACCAATATTTTTTAGATCATTACAGGAATTTTTTTCAGTTTTAACGAGTTTGTCATTGCCCAAACGGATCGAATTTCTTTCTCAAAACTTCATTCACATGATTCCGTAGGTCCACCTATAACGTTAAAAAAAATTGTCTCAATTTTTCAATTACCATTATCTCTTGTGGATTATTTAATAAATTCTGTCTGATTTTTGAGAGTGAAAGACCGAGGGTTTCGACCGCGTTGCAATTCTTTCCAAATTTCAGGACTTAGAATTTCAATAGTCAATTTTATAGTAAGGAATTCTTGTTTTCGTCGCATTTAATGTTTCATTCAATAAATTCTGAAATGAATTTTAAAAATTCTGGAGAATTTCATACAGAATTTTTGAAAAATTCGAAATTTCATAAAAACATGGAAATTGATTTTCACTTCAGTTATCGATGGTCATGATTTTCCCCCTGAATTGTCTCCCAATAACTTTGCAATCGCTGAATGTTCAAAGAGCCCCCTCTCCCATAAATCGTAATCGATCTCCATTTCTACATTTCAAAAAAAGCTTAGCTTCTCGGACTGTCCACGTTAACCATGACTCTTTGTGATCCCCAAAGAGCGAAAAAAAAAATTCCAGTCTTCGCTTTTGCCTTCGATTCACTGTTCTATCAAATTCACTGGAGGAGCAATACCTCCCGGACTTCCAAAGATAAAAACGAAACTAGGAAGAAAAAATAAATAAGAAACAAAAGTCGATGGGAGAACAAAGAAAGCAGAATGAGATTGTGAAAAACGAGTAGACGACAGCCCTAAACGCTAACATTTTCCTCTTTCTTTTCCAGAAAAGTCGGGTGAAGCTCGTCTGCCGATCGACCTGTGCCAACAAGAAGTGAAAAAAAGAGCTCATTCTCAAGAAGTAAAAGCGCACCAACAAGGCTGATTGTAAGTATAAATAATGTAGTCTTTGAAAGAAACACAAGGGGGTAGAGACTGTAGAGAGGTTGGAAAAAGGGAGATACCGGGGTGTCTGGGCCATGCAATTTGCCCTCCCCCCAAGTTTAGACATAAACGTTAAATACGGATTGGGCTGTGAGCCCTGGGGCAAAGTGGTGCGCGCATGACTCTACGGGCAGTTTACATGCAAATTAGCGAGGAAGATATCGCTCAAGGATTTAAGTTTCCTGATGGTTCCGGGAAACGTTGCCACATACATCTTTCTCCGCCCTTTACCCCTTTGGTCCCCTAACCACCTTCTCCACCCTACTCCCTCCACTCCTTCACCATTTCTTTGACCCCCTCTCTTGCCCCCCTCTAAGGTGTGCATCGTCCGCGACAGGGCATATAGCCTCCTGCATGGTTATATCCTGGAAAATAACGAGTCCGTGAATTTATAGGAAAACCTCGCGAGACAGAAATAGGAGGTTAAGGGGGTATAATGTTGAAATGTCTCTGGATTCAGCAGTGCCGGTATTTTCACCAGTTCCTGGGGGTTACCTATCAAAATAACGCGACTCCAAATAGTACCTCCAGAAATCACAACAAAAAATATTGCACGGCAATGAATTATACTTTTAAAATATTATTATGGTTAAAAATATTTTTTAAAAACACACATTCTTTCGAAACATTACAAGTACAAGGAAAAAAACATAATAAATTTTATAATTTGGTAGGGAATTGTCAATCATTCTTGAATGTTTGTCAATAATTTTTTAATATTTAAAATCGATATTCTCACCACGAGACCATATCTTGGAACAATATTTCCAGATGGACTCATTCATCAATTAAAAAAGTCAGTACATGGAGAGAAAAATACTGGGAAAAATACGTGAAAACTTCCGTAAAAATTCATGTGTGAAAAGTAAACGTGGGACGAAATGTTAAATTAAAAAAAGTGCCGATCATTCAGGCCATTTTACCACTCGGTCGGTAAAAAGTCACCTTTAGAGATAGAAACATTACGGTATTCATTTCCGTAAATTTTGCCGAGTTATTTCGTAATTTTTCCCCAACCTTTTTTTTTCAATAATAATAATTGAGGGAGAGGATATTTAATTAATAAATGATTTGACTGCATCAAAACTTCAAAAATCAGCTGTAATTTTTTTTTATCCTTGCGACAATAATAATTTGCCGGGTGACGTGATCCGAACTTGGACAACGATTCGCGATCGGGTATGACCAACAGTCGTACCACCATCGCTGTCTAGGAATTTTTCAATTCGGTCACGTAAAAATTACGGTACGTCACGTAAAATTTAAATGAAACTGGATAATTTTTGCGTTACTCGGAATGATTATTACCGGGACTGTGGTAAATTTTACAAGTTCGTAAGAAATTACGTGACAGTCCCGTAAATTTTCCAGAGCAAATACTAAAATTTACAGTTCGTCTCTCATTTTTTCCCAAATTCTCCATTGAAAAAGAAGGAAATGACACACCAGCCCATGATTACGTGATTAGTCACGCAATTTTTCCTGTATTTTTCTCTCCGTGTAAAAATATCGGTATCAGACTCGTTTCCACATCCATTACTTTTTTTTTCTCAAATTAAAAAAATATATGGATTATTTTGGATGAGGATTTTCCGACCGCAAATACTAGGGATTCCCCTGGAGTTTCTAGAGCGACTGAAAAAGACGACAATAAGGTGGCATTATTTGCCGATGGCATCTTCACCAGTGGAAAAAGGTCCTATTCTACCTTGACGTCCTTCAACGACATAATTTCCGGCAATACCCAAAGGTTTTATTCCTTCCAAGACGCCGAGGCCCATCGCAATGTGCACTCTGTATGCAATTCGGTGCTTTTCACTCGCTATTCAAACCTCACCCGTCGCAAAATTTACTTCGCCTTCTTTCTCATCTAGTTCTCCGGTTTTTTTTTCTCCTTTTCCTATTTCTTGGGGAAGCTCATTACTGCACTTCCCGTGCTTATATACTTTGTGCTTTCTTCGGAGAATTGGGTCGCTTCCTGGCCAGTTTATACTGCGGCTAAATTATAACTCCCGACGAGGTCTTACTTGTTTCTTATTATCCGTTTGTGTGACCCACTTCAAATACAAATGTTATTTTGAGAGAAAATTGACGGATAATTGACGTTGTTGAGGGGACAATTCAGAATTTCGTTTCTAGAGCTGCAGCTGCAATTTTTTTCGTACGCGAGAATTCGAGCGCGCGCCTGACAACGCGTCTTCTATCGCAGATTATACTGTTCAAAAATTACTCCTGAAATTTTATATATATTTATATATATTTATATATATTTATATATATTTATATATATTTATATATGTTTATATATATTTCTATATATTTATATATATTCATATGACATTTCCTGTTTGTTATTACAGATAAGTCTTTCAAACTCAGAACTTTACAGACATTACAAATTTTGAAAAATCTTGTCTAGCAGTAAATTCTAGTAAAAATAGATGACACTATGTATATGCTCCATGTGAAATTTTGTGGACAGTAGAGTACATGTACGTTAATAAAAGATGAAACGGCGTAACTGATGAGTAAATAGTAAGGAATAAGTGTCCTTTTACATAGGACTGTTGGAAAATTACGATTGAAATTTTAAGGAATGAATCTAGAAATTTCTTCAATATTCAATGCGGGTTTAAAAATTTTTAAGATGCATAGGAAAATAACTTTCAGTTTTAATAAAAGACTCCCTCTCAATATTTTTATTCAAAGCTCTGTAATCAAGACATTATCGTTCCAGGCAAAAAAAACAATCAACAATTCGCTTTAATTCTCAACACGAATGCAAAATTCAGTATCGCCTCTTGGTTGCCATTCTTATCGAGCGTGAGTGATTAGGAATTCAGTTATCATGAGCATTGGAATCCGGAATTATTTCCAAGAATGAAGTTATAATCGGAGATTCTGAAATTGACGAAATATTTTCACATTTATTTATTTTTTTTTTTGTGTATTATTATCGTCACGAATTACCGAAGATTATCGAAGAAGGAAGAGAGGGAATTATTTATTCGTCAAGTGTCAACTTGGGCCAAGTATTCCACGACGACTCGGCATTTCTCAAAGGCATGACCTCTTTCCGAGGAAACGATTCATCTTTCTTATCCACAGGCAAGTACAACTTGCAGTGTCAGGAGTAACACGACGAAAACCTCGGTACCATATCTGCCAATAGCTATCCAGAAAAGTATTTTAGGCATTCGCATTTTGGAATGTTTCCTCTAACCTCATAAATCCCGGGAGAAAGAGTTTCTCCGGCACTCGAAAAGATCGATCGATCTCATTATTCATCGCCGGTAGACGCAAATCATTGTACCGTCAAGGCCGATTTGTCGATGAAATTGATAGCATTGTCCCCCGTACATTCTTCAATGTCATCATCAACCACAAGTAGGACAATTTTAGCATGATTATCCAGCATCTCGAGACTGGTAATGTTCAATATCCCTGGTGCGCTGCATCAAAACTTTTGTTGCAACTTTCATAAAAATTGTATCTGACCTGGAAAATAAATATCTTCAAAAGAATCTCCACGGTGAAACTTAATTACACAGCTCAGACGGGCCGAAAAATGCAAAGTTTCCGGACCTTCGGATGTTTCTTCGGTGAATTCTCGTACCGTTATAATATCTGTGGAATCCCTAACGTTTTGCCTTTTTCTTTCCAAAGATTCGGCAAAATGTCTGCATCAGCAGAAAATTAAACTTTAAATTTCGAGTTGAAGAGCTTGAAATTTTCAACAATAATAAAGGGACGTAAAATTCATGTAGAATTCTCCATTGATGAATGGAAAACCGTCTGTTCATTTTGTTCCATTTTATTCCTCAATTATTTCTAAACAATTTCCCGTCAAATCGACATGATTTTTATATTAATACATCATCATTCTATACAACAATTTTCAAGTTCTCCCAAAGTTTCAGACTGCACAAATTCCCATAGAAAACAGCGCCAATTGTTCAGAAGCTAGGTCTTAATAGAATTCTCATATATATTTCGAAAATGTTGTGAGGATGACAAATCTGTAAAACAGGCGAAGGAAAAGCGTTATAATTAGATGAAAATTCATCAAATCTGTCGCAAGTTTGCTCCCGAGAAATTTCGTATGCATTATTTGTCGTCGAGTAATGAAGTATTCTTCTCTCGGATTACACCTGAATAACAATCCAAGTTTTGTTTGCAACGAGGATTCTGAATTTGCAAGTAGAGTCTTCTTCTGAGTGGTGCGTTGGACGTTGAATGTGGAAGCCGCAGGGCCCGAGATATTGTGCGCATTGTGCAATTGCATTCTAATAGCATGACATCCAACCCACATTATATTGCCTCCTCAGATAAAAAATTCCTGGATTGAATTTTCCATTATGGCTTTTCCTTCTACAGCGTCTTGAACTCATTTCGCTGGAGATGCTATCGAGGACTGAACACTTAGAAATCACTGAAACACTCGATTTCAAATCGTAAATAAATACTGGTAGAGATCGAGTGATTTCCATGTCCGGTGATGAGGTCTAATGACTCCTGGTAATCATCGAAAAACAAATCATAAAGAAATCAGGTTATTGGAGAAATCATTACATCTAATTTTTGTGATAATATCCTGAAATCAGGTAGAGCACGAAATATCAGGGCTCATGATTTTGTCAATCAAATGAATCTGCATTTCTCGGAAAAGCACGGGAAATTGAGTGATTTTTTGGACGTTTCCTGGATGATATTGAATTTTGCAGTTTCTCGCGGTGAGAATTTGTTTTTACGTGAATGATTCATGAAGGAGTGGAGCCAGCTGCTCCTTCAAAGAGGTATCAATTAATTATACGGAAACAACGTGGGATAATTGGAGTCCAAGGATAGGAGCTGGATTTAATTATGAATTCCAAAGGGTCTCGTTCTCAAAGTGAATTTCCTGGTGCCCTAAGCCACCTCCAATAAGATTTTAACCTCCCAAA